ACTTTGGGGTGCAATTTTCCAAGTCCCCCTATGGGTGGATGTGATATTGATAAGCGAGAAAGGCCTTGGGAGACTGGTCACAGTGTCAGGTGGAGCTCCATACCAAATTCAAGAAAGAAATACTTAGACTCCATAGATTAGAGAAAAGATATCTTTTACTGAAATTGAAGTGGTAGCAACCGTGGAATTCTGAATCTGGGAAATTAGGTGTGCAAATCACACATACAAAGTGATGGAAATGTTCCCACCCCCAATAGTTCAAATGATTCTTCCAATTAAAAGTTGTGAATATGATCATGTGGGCATCTTCAGTTGGTGATGAGGCCTCTGTCCGTTGACCTTGGCATGTTTTGATAAAGGTTTGCAGCTGCGCGGAGGAAAGAAAGCTAAGCGAGAAATAGAAACCTAAACAGGAATTTATACTTCCCCCACTCCTCATTTTACACAACACTGGAATGTAACACCTCCAGCTCGCTTCCCGGACTTTATCCCCTCCTCCCCCCGTTACTTATGGCAGCCAAGAGATGCAAAGAAATAGTAGATGATCTTGAAGGCTGACACATAGAGATGCTGCATAGGGAACAATCAGATAAGAGGCCCACAGCTGGATAGTGGGTGGGTTAAATGATTTAAAAGGGACCCTCCCTTAGTTACTTGGGCTGTAAAGAAGATGAAGGGCGGAAGAGCAGAGGCCGGATTCAGCAGGTTCTGGAGAACCAGTAGTGGAAATTCTGAGTAGTTCGGAGAACCGGCCAATCCCACCTCTGACTGGCCCCGCCAACCCCATCTCTTCTCTGCCTTCTGAGTCCCAGCTGATCGGCTGGGTCTTCTTCGGTTGCCCTGCACAGGAGAATGGAGCTGGAAAGCAGGTTAGTGGGGTGGGGAGGGAATGGAGATTTTGCAGTATCCTTCCCCTGACACACCCACCAAGCCACACCCACAGAACCGGTAGTAACAAACTTTGAATCCCACCACTGCGGAGTCAGGCCAGTACTTTCGCGACTTGCAATATTCTGTTAATATAGATTTACAATAGAGTCAGTTTACCTATCTTGTCTGACATCAATCTTGCAGGTCTCTATAATTTTCTTCCACTTTATCACTAAAGGGTAATCTTGGAAGCTGGACAATGTTTTCCTTTCCTTCCCTCTTATACCAGGGAGTCAATCATGAGTTTCTTTCTCGTTCTCTGAGTTGTTTTCCCATCGGTTTGCTACATAACAATATTTCCTTCAAGACCACCTGTATACCTGTAACAAACTGTGAGAATAACCTCTAGGGGAGGAAGAGCCCCTTGTCAAAGCAACTGTCAGATTAGAGAAGTCTTGAGTGCTGAGACAGAAAAGTAATTTGAGAAAATAGCAATGGCAATAGCACTTACTTATATACTGCTTCACAGTGCTTTTACAACCCTTTCTAAGTGGCTTACGGAGTCAGCCTCTTGTCCCCAACAATCTGGGTCCTCACTTTACCCACCTCGGAAGGATGGAAGGCTGAGAGGACCTTGAGCCTGGTGAGATTTGAACTGCCAAATTGCAGGCAGCCGGCAGTCAGCAGAAGTAACCTGCAGTACTGCATTCTAACCACTGCACCACCTGTAGTCTGATTTTACCCTCCCTAGTTCCCTCTCTCTATTAAATCATTTTTTTATCTAGTTATTAAATTTATTTGCCAGCCATCCCTCCTTGAAGTGACTCTCTAGGATAAGAACAAGGAGGAAAGAGGCACATTCAGAATTTCAAGATTTTGTAACTCTATAATAAAAGCAGGTTTGGTATTTACAACGGGGATTCAAGTCTACTCCACTGTGAAGAGCTAAGAGCTCTCCTCTACAGACATCCAGTTATTGGCCATCCTTCATGCTCTCTGCTTCCTTTCCTTCCCACAACTTCAGGTGGAACTGGAAAGGGAGAGAAGCCAGCTGCTGGCCAGAGCAATGGTAGCAGAAGAGCAGGTTGCTGGACTGCAGGAATACCTGGACAAACACCTGGTGAGGTGAGACCAAAGGCCATTTCTTTGGGCCTATAACATGGTCGGTCTTCATTCTCTCAAAAATCCCAAGATGAAAGCTTCAGGTCTCCCTGGTTCCCAAATGCTGAAGGAAGACACAGGTTAAATCTCTCCCAGGTGATCTGATGACCCAAAGGGGCGTGGCACAAAGGCAACACAGTCACATAAGTAACAGGAGTCCCTTTAATACCTCCAACTTTGCCCCCAATGTCCAGGTTACCTTCGGCTGGAGAAAAAAAACTCTCCCAGAAAAAGTCTTTAAGTGGAGGAAATTCAGTCCGAAAATGAAGTACATACAAACCAAAAATAAAAATCCACACAAATCATGCTGCAGTAATTAACTTGACAGGGCAGGAGAAGGAATTGCAACTTGAAAGGCCAGCAAAATACACACAGTTGGGAAGATGCCAGAAACCCAGATAAGCCTTGACAATACCAGATAATTCACGATTTGCTCTCAACAGTTTGCTGTGCGAAACTTCTCTTCTTAAATACTGTGTTCCCAGCTGCAGCTAATGCAGGGAATCAGGGCCCTTTTCTCCCCTGTAAGCCACACAACTCACATTGCTCCCTTCTCCATTCCTCCCTGCATGCCCTAGGATGAAGCGGGGGTGGGCCTGGATCTTCCTCCAAATTCCCTCTGCCTTGCTCTACCTCTCCCCTGCTCTGCCCAGCCAGACTTTGCCCTTCCCCAGTTTCTTCCACAGCCAACGGGACCACATTCCCACATTCCCCGTCAGCTGCTCGGCCTTGCCTCCAACGCAGATTCCGACAGGGGCATGACAGGTGAGTTTATTTCTTTCCCTTCTCCTGCCCTCTTTCGTCTACTTATTTTTCACACTGGAAGCTGCTGGAAACCTGGATTCTATCAGAAGTAAGTACAGCACCCAAGACAGCACCTATCATCTCTTCTGTGCTTCCATTGCAGATACAAGCAGGAGATTGTGAGAATGCGCAAACTCTTAGGAACAAACGGATCTCAAGCATTGAGTGCTGAAGCATCTGAGGTTCCAGTACTTTTGATGTCCCAAGGGACCCTCAGCAAGGAAGTGTAGTTTTCTTATCAGAGTAGAGCTGGAAGGGAACTTGGAGGTCTTCTAGTCCAGCCCCCTGATCAAGCAGAAGATCCTATACCATTTCAGATAAGCGACTGTCTAGACTCTTCTTAAAATCCTTCAGTAATGGAGCATCCACAACGTCTGAAGGCAGCTTCTGCTCCACTGGTTAATTGTCCTCACTGTTAGGGAGTATCTCCTGAATTCCAGGTTGCTTCTCTCCTTGATTAGTTTCCATCTATTATTTCTTGTTCTGCCCTTCTGGTGCTTTGGAAAATATCAGAATCCTTGCAAGATGTTCTCAAGAGGCCTGGACTCTTGGCCCGAGTAACAACTGGACCCAACATCTGGTACACATTCATCCATCTCCAAGAGATATGAGGAAGGAAAAGGCTTGAAGCAGCCATGGAGGTTCCTGGGTGAAATTTAAGCTTCAAAAATGCGAATGTTTTGTTCAAAATTTTGGAATTTGTCTGTTTATGAAGAGCTTTTGGATATAATACTGTGTATATATACACTGTGTGTGCATAAGAGGTGATTATGCATTCTTGGAAGGACCTCCTATAAGTTTGTATAAGTTAAACAAAATCTGTCTACACTTTATTTTGACTTAGTAGGGAAGCACGAAGATCAAATATGATTCCATTCGGTCTATGTTTGATTTGTTGATTAAAAACCGCCTGTTGTGATTTATATAAATATGATTTTAGTCTCAGTTCACTTATTTTCAGTTACTGTACTGCATTACCGTTATTTCAGTTTTTTCTTCTTAACTTCACCCCTCGATGTACCCGTTTAGCTTTCTTCCAGTGTACATTATAGCATGGGCAGTATTGAATAGCGCAGCTCGACATTTGTAAATATTGTATTTGATGGGTATCACGGGTACAATTTAAGTAAAACTCAATTCAATGATAGCAATGATGTTTTTTTTAAAAAAAGAAAAGTATTTAGTACCAACATTCACTTTATCCTCAAGATACAACAACCAGCCCAGGCAGTTCACTAAGTAATTTGGGGAGACATGAATCTGAACCTCACTGTTTGTACAGTCAACCCAACATGACCTGAGCTCTTGAATACCCACAAAGACCATACATGTGGTCCTCAACTTATGACAGTTCATTTAGTGACTGTTCAAAATGTCAACGGCTCTGAAAAAAGGGACTTACGATGATTTTTCACACTTCCGACCGTTGCCGCATCCCCACTGTCCCATAATCAAAATTCAGATGCTTGGTAACTGGTTCATATTTATGATGGCTGCTGTGTCCCAGGGTCATGTGTGATACGCTTTTGCGACCTTCTGACCAGCCATGTCAATGGGGAAACCAGATTCAATTAACAACCGTGGGACTAACTGAACAACTGCAGTGATTTACTTACCAGTGTCAACTCATAAAATATCTAATATGCCGCTTCACAGTGCTTTCCAGCCCTCTCTAAGCAGTTTACAGAGTCAGCCTCTTGCCCCCAACAATCTGGGTCCTCATTTTACCCACCTTGGAAGGATGGAAGGCTGAGTCAACCCCGAGGCGGTCAGGACTGAAGTGCCAAATTGCAGGCAGCCAGCAGTCAGCAGAAGTAGCCTGCAGTACTGCATTCTAACCCCTACACACCATGGATGGATGGATGGATGGATGGATGGATGGATGGATGGATGGTTGGAAGGAAGGAAGGAAGGAAGGAAGAAAGGAAAAAAGGAAAAAAGGAAAAAAAGAGAAATATGGATAGAAGGAAGGAAACATGAAAGACGGGAGAGAGGGAGGAAGGAAGAGCAACAGCACTTAAGACTTATATATTGCTTCACAGTATTTTTAAGCCCTCTCTAAGCGTTTTACAGAATCAGCCTCTTGCCCCCAACAATCTGAGTCCTCATTTTACCCACCTCGGAAGGAGGGAAAGCTGAGTCAACCCTGAGCCAGTGAGATTCGAACTGCCAAACTGCGGGCAGCTGCCAGGCAGCAGAAGTAGCTGCACTCTGACTACTGCGCCACCAGATGGAGAAATGGAGACACCCCATCCCAATGGGGAAAGGGTCACCTCTCAGCAAAGATGGGAGTTTTTTGTTGTTGTTGAGAAATTGTCACGTCCAAGATGAAGACTGGCATGTTCTCACACTGGGCTCCCTTGTGACTCGTCCTTCTTCAGTTGCCGGACCACCTGGACGTCGTATGCCCAGGCTTGGTTGACACCTTCTCCAGCTGTGTCAGTGTGGGTCCAGTTGGGGAGAGGAAACCGCCCAGCCACCACCCGGGCTTCTTCTGGAAGTTCCATAAGTAGCTTTTTCTCCAGAAGCATCAACTAGGAAGAAGAAGAAGAAGAAGAAGAAGAAGAAGAAGAGTAGAGGTGTCCTTCTGAAGGATCTATTAGTCAATACGGAATACAGACAGACCAACACAAGAGAGGATTGAGCTCTGGGAGTCCTCGGGGCTCTCTTGAGCTTGGCTGTTGTCTTGCAGATGTTTCATGACCCAACTAGGCCACATCATCAGTGCCAAGGATGTTACCTTAATTGAGCCATGAAACATCTGCAAGAAAGCCACCAAGCTCAGAGAGCACCAAGGACCTGAAAGGTAGACCAGCTGTGTATTTTGGTGACCTGTAGTTCAAGGAGATGGCATCACCTTTGAAATGGAGATGTAGTCATGGCTACCAACTTGACCGGGTTCAAGAAAGGGCTGGCTTGTTTTATGGATTCATGGAATCACCGGGTCTTGGCCTGTAGGGCAGCAGAACTGCCCCTGAAGACCATATGCTGGGAGACAAGTAGGCTTCCTTCTGTGAGAAGACTGCTGGACAAGATGGACCTAATCCAACAGGGGACAGGTTCGTATGGAATTCATTTTTTACTTGCTACCAATATTCCCTTGTTGTTTCACTGGACTCAAAGGTTATGCCTTCTACCTGAGATCTTAAGAGATCCCTACTCTTTTAGCCTTCTGATAGGCCATAAAGACCTGGTCCTCTCCCCCCACCCCCGCCCCAAGAATTGGGCTAGGATGGGGTTTGAACTGAGAGATCGGTTGGTCAGCGTTTGCTTTTAAACTTTGGGGCTTTGGCTTTTCACCTTCACTTTTGTGGCTTGTGGCGAGCTAACAAGACACCATATCAATCCTGTACATAAATAAACAAACTCATACGCTGTGCTAAACCGAGTGGTGGGGTGGCCAAGAGGTGGAGCTCTCACCTCACAATCAGGACGCTGTGAATTCGATTCTCGGGTAGAGGCAGGTATTTCTCTCTCTGGGCTCAAGGAGAACGTATCTGCTGAGATATGGAACTCCGCGTTGGCGACAGGAAGGGCATCCGGTCAGTAAACGCTCAGCTCCATTCAGCTGCCCAGGCTCCACCCAGCAAGGGACGATGGGGTCATTAAAAGATGATGATGATGATCTGCTGTGCTAAACCACGGCTTGCCTTACCCATGTTCTGCTGGATAGCCATAATGCTTGGCTCCACGTCTATCCCTATGCTAGAATGCATGACTTAGAAATTCACCGGGATGACTTCATACAACCCGCTGAGCTAAATCGGAAGAGACCGTTGGACGGCTACAAAGCAGGACACAGAAGACACAGGCTTTTGAGACTTCAGGAAGCCCACAGGAAGAGACTGCCATTCACACCCCAAGTGCCCCAGTGCCTCGACTAAATTAAACCAAACATATCCGTCTTTTACAAGGGCTAAAGGCTAAACCTCACAAGAGATCACTGATGCTCTGGTTAAAAGTTTATACAATTATTTTTTGTCTATTTATAACTATCCCCAATCTGCCATCACTTGGCAGATCCAGAGGTCTCTCCTCCTTTCAAAGAAGAACTTAACTTTATTTTATTTATTGTGTGTATGTGGTTTTTTTTTTTTAAAAAAAGGCCAGCCTGTTTCTTCCTCGAAAGAGCAACAGTGAAAATACCCTACTGATTTTCAAAGAGGAATTGGTCTTATTACGGGTAGTCCTCCACTTACGGCCATTCCATTTAGTGACCATTTCAAACTTTGCAACGGCACTGAAACCAAGCGACTCGCGCGACAGACCACAGGCGGTTCTCCACTTACAACCGCAATTGTGTTAAGTGAGCTTTGCCTCATTTTACGACATTTCTTGCTCCAGTTGTTAATCACGGCGTTTGTTCAGTTAGGAACACGCTTGTTAAGTGAACCTGGCTTCCCCCTGGACTTTGCTGGTCAGAAAGTCTCAGAAAGATGGTCACTTGAACCCGGGACCCTGCAACCATCATAAGTATGAGTCAGTTGCCAAGCATCTGAATTTTGATGGCGTGACCATGGGGAATGCTACAACGGTCGTAAAGTGTGAAAAATGTTCACAAGTCACTTTTTTTCCCCAGTGCCGTTATAACTTTGAACGGTTGTAAGTCAAGGACTACCTGTATTGTAGCGTCCACATAATCATGTGATCAAAATTCACATAACTCTAAGACAAAAATAATAACTCCCCACCTAGTCAGATATCCAAGCTGTCTGGATCCATTTCATTTGCAGTGACTACTGTCCAATCCATGTGATTTTTCTCCTACTGAAAGTGGCAAAGTTCTGTATTGTTACACGCCATACTTATTCAGAATAGAATGAGCTGGAAGGGACCTTGGAGGTCTTCTAGTCCAGCCCCTTGCTCAAGCAGGAGAACCTATACCATTTTAGACAAGTGGCTGTCCAATCTCTTCTTAAAAACCTCCAGTGATTAAACACCCACAACATCTGAAGGCCAGCTGTTCCACTGGTTAATTGTCCTGTTAGGAAGTTTCTCCTTAATTCAAGATTTCTTGGATTAGTTTCCATCCATTTTTTTCTTGTCCTGCTTTCAGGTGCTTTGGAAAATAAATGGACCCCCTTCTTCTTTGTGGCAGCCTCTCAAATACTGGAATATTGCTATCATGTCACCCCTACTTCTTCTTACACTTCACTACATCAATTTTGTAATAATTAAGTTTTACTGTGTTTCTCCTAGTTTGTTTCAAAACGTGCTTTCAAACTGATCAGTGACAGTAATAATATTTACGGTTGCCACAAACAGTTCACTCCCACTACTACCCATCTGCATGGATATATACTGTATTTTGGAGGAAAAAAAAACCTCTCCTGGTGATACATACCACACTAGGTGCCAGGAACACAGTTACATTCTGACAATCTGATAAGTTCACCTTAAAAAGACAAAACATAAATTAGAAAAGGGAAAAAAGTTTTACTTTCTGTGCCATGTTTAAGGCGGTTTCTATTAAAAAGTTCTGGAGCAAAAATGAACAATCTTTCTTGGTCCAACTCACTGGGTGGGCCTTCCCATTTCATTCACAAGCCATAAATAATGTTGGCTTGGCTTTGGCTCGGAGGGTTGTAGAAACCAAGAGATTTCGATCTGCAGAGGAGAACTTCAGGAGTCTGAACCCAGCCAAGTGCAAGAAGCAGAAGCCAAATAAACCACAACGTAGCACAAGGGCTGGTTTAGTTGCTGCAAAGATTGACCAGGATATACTTTATAGCAGTGGTCGCCAACCATTGGGCCGGGCCGGAGACCACTGGTGGTCCGCGAGACAATTTTGGTGGTCTGCAGAGAAATGTCACCCGCAAAGCAACTAATCCAGGCTGTGAGGGAACACAAGGCTTCACCACCCACATGGCACATGGGGACACAAGGCTTGTGTCACTTGCACTGCGCACAACACGAGGTAGTGAGGGGAGGGGGAAAGGGTGGAGGGGGGAAACTTGTCCCACTCGCCCCACGCGCCTGGCCTGGCCACTGGACTGCTTCTTTCTGCTTCTGTCTTCTGCTTTTGGCTGCATGCAAGGGAAACAGCAAAAGTCTTCATTTCTGGAAGAGTTTGGGGGAGAAAGACTTCAGCTGGTCATTTGCATTTTTTAAGAGAGTTGTTGAGGCCCCTTAGAGCCTTTATCGGTGTCCTCAGGGTCACCTGAGTAGTGCAAATGGGTGTGAATTCCTACTTGGAATTCCTTTTTCTTATGAAGAGGTTTCGCTTCTCACCCAAAAAGCTTCTTCAGCTCTGAGCGGATGGCGGGGGAATGGAAGGATTTATACCCCTTGCAGACAACGGGTCATTTGCATCCTTTTAGACTGTGTGTGAATGCAACCCACCATCCAGTCGGAGCTGATGAAGCTTCTTGGATGAGGAGTGAAATGAAAGAAAAAAAACAAGAAAGTCCAGTTGCCTCCCGAAAAAAGCATCTTTGGGACATCCACGAGCTGGAGGACTGAGAATCTCTGCAGACTTTTAGCTATGCAATTTGGGATGAACACCCCTGGAATGGCGTGGGAATAGGAATGGATTTTCGGAGAAAAAATATTGCAGACTGCAGGAACAATTTGCACGATTCAGGTGACCCTGAGGACACAGACAAACCTCCAAGTGGCCTCAACGACTATCTAAAAAGGATGCAAATAACCAGCTGGAAGGAAGGAATCGAGGAAGGATTAGCAAGGAATATAAGGAATCAAGGAAGGTCAGCAAGGAATATAAATCCTTCCATTCCCCACCATCTAGTCAGAGCTGAGGAAACTTCTTGGATGAGAAGCGAAATGTCTTCAAAGAAAAACCAGAAAGTCCAGCTGACTCTTGAAACAAAAAACACTTTTGGGATTATGCTCAGAATTCCAATATCTTTCCCTTTTTTCCTCACCTTCCAAAGGTCTTCCTTGTAATAAGAAACTTTTCCGTAACACCCAGCTTTCCACGCACGATAGCTGGAAAGTCGCAACAGCCATGGATTGAGTTCATAGCCAACAGCTGGCCTGAAGCCTTGTTTGTAAGCTTCCAGGACCTGCAAATATAAATAAACCAAGTTTGTTTATTTCCTGGATTTGTATCCATCAGAAGCACAAGGAGCTGCTTTCCAGGAGATCAAACAATCCATCTTAATCTGGTTTTATTCTGATTTGAGTGCAGCTCTCTCAGGATTCGGGGAAAGAGAGAGACGGCTCCATCTCATAGTTAATTTAATTGGAAATATCCAGAAGTGAACCTCCAAATTTTGAATGGTTTCATCCTTCCATTTTTAACAGAGTTTGGGAGTATTTTAGGATCTCAAAAGAGCACCAAAGGTTACATAACTCTTGACACAGCAACAGAACCAACCCACAGAAGAAGGAAAAAAACCCAATATAACTGAAATACTGCACACAGCTCTCAAGCCATGCCATTTCTGTGGCAAAATAAAATAAAATATTAAATATAAATATACAATAAAATATGAAGGAGGATAATGAGCAACAGGGCAAACTAAACTTCCCCAGACTGCAATTATCTTAAGGCAAGCAAAATAAGGCTTTTTTAAAAATTAAAGTTTAAAATACAAAATTGCAACCAAAACGGCGAGGATCGATAGAAAAAGTTTTTTAAATGGCAGAAAATCACATTTTAAGTAAGGAAATGAATAAAACAATGTTACTTCCAACTCTCTTCAATATTATTACCTAATAAAAGGCAGTTTTCTTTCAATTTAACAAAAGAAAAAAAGATACAAAACTAAAAATATTAAGATATACAAATCAAACCATCAACTAACAACAGCAACAATGTACAGTATAATAGCATCAACAAAGGGAGATTTTTCCAGAAATCAGAGGTCATGAGGAAAATAGAAAAAAACAGGTCAGACTCCAGATATCCTGGTCAAGTTAAAGGTGAGCAAACTTTATCCACATTTTTTTGTTTTAGGTCCTGTATCACCTTTTGTTCACACTCCCAAAATTTCAGCCTCATGGTTTCCTGTTGTTTTCAGACAGAAATCAAAATAAAATGCTTAAAAATTTTAATGCTTAAAATTAAAAAAAGAAAAAAACACCTCTCTCAAAAATCCTGTCAAGAGAACCCCCCCCCAAAAAATCACCCCTCACTCCCTCAAGCTCATAATACAGTTAGTCCTTGACTTATGACAATTGAGCCCACAATCTGTGTCGCTAAGTGAGACAGTGGTTAGAGGTGAGTTTTGCCCCGTTTTACGATCTTTCTTGCCACAGTTCTTAAGTGAATCACCACGGGGGCTAAGTTAGTAACAGTCGTTAAGTGAATCTGGCTTCCCTATTGACTTTGCTTATCAAGGCGGTCGCAAAAGGGGATCATGTGACATCCCCCCCCCCCCGGGGACGCTGCAACCATCATAAACATGAGTCAAGTTACCAAGTGTCCAAATTTTGATCAGGTGACCAAGGGGATACGGCAATGGTCATCAATGGGTGGGATTCAGCCGGTTCAGACCGGTTCGAGCGAACCGGCTGTTAAATTTGCATCTGGTTCACCAAACCGGTATTTGAATCAATTGGCTGGCCCCACTCACCCCTCCCTGGAGTCTCAACGTGGCCCATTTTCGATGCAGGTAAGTGCAGGGCCTGGGAGGGGAAAAAAGTGGACCTTCTGGAAGTACCGAAAGTCCAGAAATGGGCCTGTTTCCGGCTTCCGGAGGGCCTCCAGAGGCCCCGGGAGGCTGTTTTTGCCCTCCCAGAGGCCCGGGGGAGGCCTCTGTACCCAAGGGGAAAATACCGGTAGGCTACGCCCACCCAGCAACTGGGCAACGAACCAGTTGCTGGGATTTTTGAATCCCATCCCTGGTTGTAAATGTGAAAAACGGCCCTAACTGACTCTTTTCGAAGCTGCTATAACTTTGAAGGGTCACTAAAGGAACTGTTGTAAGTCCTTTCACTGTTGAACACGGGGTGTCGTGGGTGAGCTCTGTTTGCGTCATCACCACCCTTGCAACGCTCTGCTCCTCTCCGTATGAAATCCAGTGGCTGGCTGAAGGACTTCACAAGTTCCCCCGTGAGCCGCAAAATATATTTATGACCCCCCCCCCCCCAAAAAGGACTTCCCCGTGTCCCATTTTAATGCTCGCAGAAGAACACAGCAAAGCCACGAGATTTTCTTACAATTCTGCCATCCCCGGAGCCCAGATCTACGATCTTCCCAGAACGTCCTTTGAGTAACTGCATCACGTTCTCCATTTGTTTAGCACTTGCTGGGATGTAGGGGACCTGAAGGAAGAGGAGAGAAATTGGTATTCTACCCGGGAGTAAATGAATTCAGAGATTCTCCGTCATCCAGGCCATGGGTTGTCCCAGAGGTGCCTTTTCAACAGGCAACTGGATTTTTTTTAATTTTTCTTTGAAGATGATTTACAGAGGAACCATTTGAGGTTTAGTTTGAGATGGAGACAACACAGACTCATCCCCGACAGCCTGCGTTCAACAGTGAAGGGACACAGGGCACAAAAGCATCCTGCCGAAAGCACAGCTCCACAACACAGTCCCAAAAAGGCTCCACACCCATTTGCACCACTCAGGTGACCCTGAGGACACAGACAAACCTCCAAGTGGCCTCAACGGCTCTCTGTAAGAATGCAAATGACCAGCTGTCTGCAAGGAATATAAAACCTTCCATTCCCCACTATCCTGTCAGAGCTGAAGGAGCTTCTTGGATGAAAAGCGAAACGTCTTCAAAGAAAAACCAAGAAAGTCCAGTTGCCTCCAGAAAAAAAAACATGCACCTTTGGGAAAATTATGACCTGGATGATTAAGAATCTCCATAGACTTTCCCCCCCTTTTTTTTGCACTATTTTTATTGAACATTTTTCAACAGTTTATAACACATGTACCCTCTTTAAAATGCTACAACATCGCAAGTACTCGTATATACATAATAATAACATTGTTAATCTTTGCTTTTATTATCTAGCCAATGCGTCCCAGACCAAATAATATTCCGATTCACCTCTAACTTTTAATTCTAGTGGGAGCCTGTCCATCTCCGCGCAGTCTAAGAAGATCTTTTTTATCACTATCCCCTCAGAGGGGATATTATCATGTTTCCAGTTTTGTGCATACACAATTCTGGCTGCACTCGCTGTATGTAAAATAATACATTTATCTCTTTTTGCTGTATTCTCCTCGTATTATCCCCAGCAAAGGGATAATTATCCATAGACTTTCCTGCCATATCTTAAAAGTTTTGACTTCAAAAAAGGAGAAAACAAACTGTCCCCACTCTCCATCCCTATTGTCTCCCTGACCTGCACAACTCAGTGCCATTCTCCCCTTTAAAAGCCTTATTCAGTTACTGGGTTTTACCTGTAGTTTTAAGGGCACCTTGCGGAAACCGGGCATAAGAATTCCTGCCCACACGACATAAGCTGTCAAGCCAGTGCCGGCTGCAATTTGCAAAACATCCCAGCCGTTTATTTTCTTGCCTTGTAATTCAGCAGCCACCTGTTCAACATCTTCTGGATCCATCTTTTCTATAAATTAATTCCATTGAACTCAATCGGGTTTAGCACTAGTTCAGTAGATGTTAAGATTGCCATTTTAGTTGTCCTAAAAACCTTCTTTCCCCTCTTTTCCATACGGGGTTGGATTAATATGTCTTCTCAAATCTTAGTTAAATTCCGTACCAATTTATAGACACAGAGATTTTGCTTAGCCACTGCACCAAACACGTTTTCTTTTGCAAATTAAGATGTTTGGATATTTAATCAGAAACCCACCCCCCAAAATGCAGATTGTTAAGACTTTGGAAGATATGCAAACAAAACCTTTGCTGCGTTGTTCATCCTGCCACAGTGTAAACTACTACAATAAACAGCCCTGAACCAGAGTATTCAGCTGGTTCTGACCAGTTGTGGAGAACCGGTAGCGGAAATTTTGAATAGTTTGGAGAACTGGCAAATCCCACCTCTGACCGACCCCGCCAACCCCATCTATTCTTTGCCTCCTGAGTCCCAGCTGATCGGCTGGGTCTTCTTTGGTTGCCCTGCCCAGGAGAATGGAGCTGGAAAGCAGGTTAGCGGGGTGAGGAGGGAATGGGGATTTTGCAGTATCCTTCCTCTGCCATGCCCAAGCCACACCCACCATGTCACGCCCGCCAAACTGCACCCCACAGAACTGGTAGTAAAAAAAAATATGAATTCCCACAACTACCCTGAGCCACTCCTTAAAACCTCTCCCAACCAGTCCTACTTTGCAGGGCTGTTCGCCATAAGAAGGAGAACAATATCGTTCCCCCATTTAATTGCAAGAATGCATGCAGATCTCTTCCCAGCAACTCATCACAATTGCAAGATGGATGGTCTGGAAATAAAATACAGGTGGTTCTCAACTTACAACCACAATTGAGCCCAAAATTTCTGTCATTAAGCGAGACATTTGCTCAGTGAAGTTTGCCCCATTTTAAGGACCTTTCCTGTCCCAGCTGTTCAGTGAAGAAGCACTGTTGTTGTGAAGTGAATCTGGCTTCTTCTTTGACTTTGCTTGCTGGAAGGTCACAAAAGTTGGTCCCCTGACCCAGGACCCCACAACTGTCACAAATATGAACCAGTTGGCAAGGGGCCGGGGTTTTGATCACGTGACCTCAGGGACGCTACAACAGTTCTAAGTGTGAAAAATGGTCCTAAGTCACTTTTTTTCAATTTTCAAATGGGCATAAGTTGCTTTTTTGAACTAAATGACTACCTGTAAGGCAGAGAGAGAAAGTTGCTCCAGGGCATGGGCAGAGTGCACGTCCCAGCTGGGGACAAGTAATAGATTTCCAATGACACCAAGGGACAGAGCTACTGCAGATTTGCACTCAGAAGCCGGCTTGGTTTCTTTCTTTCTTCCTCTCTCCCTTCCCCCCTCTTTTCTTTCTCTCCCTCCCTCTTTTCTTTCTTTCCTTCCTTCCTTCCTTCCTTCTTTCTTTCTCTTTTTTTCCCTTTCTCCCTCCCTCCCTCTTTTTTTCTTTCTCTCTCCCTCCCTCTTTTCTCTCTCCCTCCCTTTTTTTCTTTCTCTCTCCCTTCTTTTCTCTTTCTCTCCCTCCCTCTTTTTTCTTTCTCTCTCCCTCCCTCTTTTCCTTCTCTCCCTCCCTTTTTCTCTTTCTCTCTCTTTCCCTCTTTTCTTTCTCTCCCTCCCTTTTTCTTTCTTTCTTTCTCTCCTTCTCCCTCCCTCCCTTTTCTTTTTCTTTCTTTCTCTCCCTCCCTCCCTCTTTTCTTTCTCTCTCTCCCTCCCTCTTTCCTTTCTCTCTCTCTCTCTCTCTCCCGCCCTCCCTTTTTTAAATGCAAATCCAATTCAAGCCTTTCCCTCCGCCCCCGGACCCTTCCCAGCGCTTCTTTCCCCAGACGCCCTTCACCTCCGGAAAAAGGCACTTCCTCGGCAGCCACGTGGCTCGCCCTCGGGGGAGCCGCGCGCCGCTCGGACGCTCCGGGTGGAAACGAGCGAGGCGGGGGAGGTTCCGTTCCCCGCTTGGCTTTTCCCAGGAGGAAACCTCGCAGGTCGCTGGATGCAGTGCAGGATTGCACGCTCATTGGTGGTGGCATCGGAATAGAGTCAGAATCGAGCTGGAAGGGACCTCCGAGGTCATCTAGTCCAACCCACTGCCCAAGCAGGAGACCCTATGCCATTCCAGACAAGTGGCTGTCCGGTCTCTTCTTAAAAACCTCCAGTGATGGAGAGCCCGCAACTTCTGGAGGCATTGCACGGACTAATCAATCAATCAACATAGAGCTGGAAGGGATCTTGGAGGTCTTCTAGTCTAGCCCCTGCTCAAGCAGGAAAACCTATAGTCTAAAGAGAAGAAGAATTAGGGGAAACATGATAGCAGTGTTCCAATATCTCAGGGGCTGCCACAAAGAAGAAGGGGGTCCATTTATTCTCCAAAGCACCTGAGGGCAGGACAAGAAACAATGGATGGAAACTAATCAAGGATAGAAGCAACCTGGAATTAAGGAGAAACTTCCTAAAAATGAAGACAATTAACCAGTGGAACAGAAATTGCCTCCAGAAGTTGTGGGTGCTTCATCAATGGAGGCTTTTAAGAAGAGACTTATCTGAAATGGTATAGGTTCTCCTGCTTGAGCAAGGGGGTGGACTAGAAGACCTCTAAGGTCCCTTCCAGCTCCTGTTCTATTTCTATTATTTCTGTTTCAATTCTATTTCTATTCTATTTTATCTTCTATTCTATCTTCTATTCTGTTCCGTTCTATTTCTTATTTCTATTTCAATTCTATTTTTGTTCTATTTTATCTTCTATTCCATCTTCTATTCTATTCTATTTCTATTTCTATTCTATTTCTGTTTTATCTTCTATTCCCACCTTCTATTCTATTCCTATTCCTATTCTATTCTATTTCTATTCTATTCTATTTTATCTTCTATTCCATCTTCTGTTCTATTCTATTTCTATTTCTTATTTGTATTTCTGTTCTATTCTATTTTATCTTCTATTCCCACCTTCTATTCTATTTCTATTCCTATTCTATTCTATTTCTATTCTATTTTATCTTCTATTCCATCTTCTATTCTGTTCTATTCTATTTCTATTCTAAATCACAGCAGTTGTGAAATTAGCAAAACGGCTGTTAAATGAATGTGGCTTCCCCATTGATTTTGCTCGTCAGAAAGTTGCAAAAGGGGACCTTGGGACACAGCAACGGTCAAAAAATATGAACCAGTGGCCACGTACCTGAATGTTGACCACATGATCATGGGGATGATTCAAGGGCCGTAAGTGTTAAAAACAGTCACAAGTCACTTTTTCCCCCCAGGCCATTGTAATTTTGAATGAACTGTGGTAAGTTGAGGACTACCTGTATAGGGGGGAATTAGAATTAGTCAGGCGGCCCAATTTTTCTCTGACCCGTTGGTCAACAGAGGATGTAAGAATCCAACATTCCTGTTTGACTGCCTAGCTAAGATCAGGCGAGTGCCAAGTTAAGAAAAGTCGCCCTTGCGTCATTCCTAGTTCCCGCTAGGCGTGATGCAAAGTTGCTTTTTCCACGCAGAAATATCATCTCCCGGGGTGCTGAGTTTGTATTCTTGCTGCTGACCTCGGACCCTGGTGTTTATTTGCATAGCATGGGACGAAGGACAGTTCATTCAAGGAGGTTTAAACAGCAGGCTTGGAACCACATAGATGCCTTCAATGCTGTATTGGGTGATTGATGTTTTTCTTCCCACTGACCCGAGGATCGTATTTTCCACGTGGCTCAAATGCCTGATGCCAAGAGCCGTGATGTACATTAATTTCATCTCCCTCCCTCCCTCGCCTCTCTCTCCTCTGTTTTAACAGATTAACAGAGTTGGAAGGGACCTTGTAGGTTATCTAGTCCAACCCCCTGCCCAAGCAGGAGACCCTACACCATTTCCGTCAGATGGCAGTCCAGTCTCTTCTTGAAAGCCTCCACGGATGAAGTTTTTGCAAGATAGGTTTTGCTGTAAAGCATGTCAGCTTCTGTCTGGCTTGTTTCAACTCCAGAGGACCTGAAGAGACAGCAGAGAGAAATGAAGGCGGTCCTGCCTATAAATGACGGGAATGGAAAACAGTTGCTTGATGGGCTAGAGGTGGGGGTAGGACCCTTGGAGCTGCAGAGAAGGAAGTCCAACTGTTAGCCCTGCAAGGTAGCCCAGTCAAGGAGCAGAACCAAGAGTACAAATAGAAACAAATATTTGTAGCTCAGGGTTGAGCTGGGAAGTCCTTGGTGCTGTCTGAGCTTGGCTGTTTTCTTGAAGATGTTTCATTATCTAACAACATAACATCATCTGTGCTAGAAGAGAATGAGGCTTGCAGAATGGAGGAGAAAGGGAATGGGGAAAAGAAAGAAAGGAAGGGGGAGGAGGAGAAGGAAGAGGAGGAGGAGGAGGCAGCGGCTGTGGGGTCCTTGGTGCTCTCTGAGCTTGGCTGTTTTCTTGCAGACATTTCGTGACCTAACTATGTAACGTCATCAGTGCTAGAAGGCAACGGGGTTTGCAGAATGGAGGAGAAAGGGAAATGGGAAAAAGAGAGAAAGGAGGAGGAAACTGAGGGGTCCTTGATGGTCTGTGAGCTTAGTGGTTTTCTTGCAGACTTTTCATTACCAAACTAGGTAACATCATCAGGGCTAAAAGGAAGTGGAATTGAGGAGGAGGAGGAGGATTGTGGGGCCCTTGGTGTTCTCTGAGCTTGGGTGTTTTCTTGCAGACATTCCACTATCTGTGTAACATCCTCAGTGCTAGAAGGCAGTGGGGTTTGCTCTTTGCTTATATAAAGGTGCCAATCGAAGAGAAAATATTTGTAGCTCGGGATTGAACTGAATTGAGATCCATGCAATTGAATATCTTTGAGATTGAGAGTTCCTGCCTTGGAGAAATCCAACAGATGTTCTAAGGGAAGCCATCTGCTCTCAGTCTGCCTCCCCGCCCCATCCGTTTTCATGCATTTCTCTTCCATCATCACCCCAACTTTTATCCTCACCCCAGGACTCTCCAGCCTCCAAAAGCAGATGCAAAACAGCTGGCTCCGTGAGCCTGGAACCATAGCTCTTGTCAGAGAAAGTTTTTTTTTGGGTTTTGTTCTTTTTTTCTTTTTTTTTTTTAAAGGAAGGGATTAAATGCAAACAACAGTTTTCGTTCCAGTGAGAAGATTTTAGCTTTCCGAAAAAGGGAGCATCACACATGAGTTTTCCCACCAACGCACATTCATGCTGTGGAAAGTCTGGTTTATATCAGGGCACAACTGACATGAATTCCAGTGTCATGCCCAGTCACTGAGTGACACCCCTGGCATTCAAGGTGAGGATTCAAAGGAGGGACTGCTAATTTTTATAGCTTGCGTTGGTTTTGGGGGTTTTTTAGCGTCTATTTTCCCAAACAAACTTGACAAAGCAATAAACTTGGCTCTACCGGTCAGGAGTGTGCAGTTTTCTAAGGGAATTCTTGGTTTTCCTGAACATTTGAGCAAAGTGGCCTCTCTAACAATTCACACTGAGATAGACATAGATTGCACCATAAGAGGTTCTATTTTTAAAAAATAAATTTTATTAATTTTCTATTAATTACCTTTCTTAGTGCTTAATAAACACCATGTTGTCTGGGTATATTTAATTTGCTTAATAATATAGATTCCATTCTTAGACTCCTCCACCCCCTTTTTCCAACCACTGGTAAAATAAATTCCACATTTGATAACATTCAGTGTCTTCTTTCTTCTTTGATTTGCAATGTAAGTCTGTCTATTTCAGCACAATCTAATATCTTCTTAATGATCTCTTTTTGCGATGTTTCCTCATTTTTCCAGCATTGTGTGAAGATAATCCTTGCTGCTGTTGAGACAAGTAAATACTAAATATATAGTTTTCTTATCTAATTTTTCTACGCTATGAGAGGTCATCTTTGGGCTGGTGAAGGAGTACTTGGATGGTGCTTCAAACGATCTGGGGAATTGCTGAGGTGCTGAACAGCAAAGAGAAGTGGGGACGAGGCACTTAGTAGAGTAGAACAAAGAACATAGAGCTTAGAATCATAAGGTTGGAAGGGACCTTGGAGGTCTTCTAGTCCAACCCCCCTGCCCATAGCAGGATGTCTTAGACCTATATCATTCTGAACAAATGGCTGGTCCAGTCTCTGTCCAGAATTAATGTTGCCACAGCCTAAGGGTAGCACAAAAGATGACCTCCCACACTCACCTCAGCTCCTGCCAACCTAGGAGTTTGAAAGCATGCGAGTAGATCAATAGGTACCACTTTGGTGGGGAGATAACAGCCTTCCGTGTGCCTTAGTGTCTAGCCATGCCTGCCACATGACTGGCAGAAATGTTTTCAGACAATGCTGGAACCCACAGCCAAGAAATGGAGATGAGCACTTAGAGTTG